CTGTCTCCAGTTCCTCCAGGTACACGTGCAAGGCATGTTTTCGCATAAACCAGATCCGAGTAGCGAGGGAAAAAAGCTCAAAGGAGATCTTCATACGGAGCCCTGTTCTGTGGTTGTTTTGTTAACTCGCATCCTACAGAGAAGGAGCTGTTAGGCGACTTTACCAACCGCTCGAGCCGCCTCCTCGGCCGGCGCGTGGTGCTTTCTGCTGCTTCTGATGCAACTTGGGCCGCTGAGGGCGCTACCACGGAGCAGTGCGGGCAGCATCCTTTCTCCCCCACCCCTCATCTACCCGGTTCTGCCGCGGTGGAAAGCCCGGGCGGAGCCGCTGCCCTCACCTGGGGACCGCCCAGAGCTCCGCCTGCACCATGGCCTGGAGCAAAGCGGCGCCGACCGGACCGGTCTCTAGGGCTCCCCCGCACACTCGGGTTCTGCCTGCTCCTTCTTTTCTTTGGGGATCGAGCTTCCTCCCTCCCGCGCTCGCAGGCGTCTCTTCGCCCCACTCTGTTGGTACACAGGGCCCCAGGATTTTCTCACTCACTTGCACGGGACGTGCCCCTCCCCCCTCTGATTTTCTTTTGATACATGTCTTAGTCCAAGTCCCTGAGCAAAACAGAAAATTATTTCAAGAAAAGAGATAGAATTTTCTCCTTACCCCCAAAGTATTGGGAACCCCAGGGTCAATAGTAAGATGAGCCCCTATAGATGGACCTGGTCTATGTAAGGAAAGACTCACTCACCTGGGGCATGGGTGACTCACCTCCTCCTTAGAAGCACACTGTGTATGAGGAAGGTCTTTTATTATTATGTAGCAGATAAATTATAACACTGAGTGTTCAAGAGGACTCTAAGCTATGTCTTGTGAACTCATGAGTTTGGTACAAGCTCATGGAGAAAATTCTCCACGGTCACACCAGATAGGAGGTGGTAGTACCTAAAGGCATAAACGTTCCAAATGACCTACATGTATGTGTCCAAAATGCATGTGAGGGCCATGATATTGCTCAGCAGAGTCTCTGGATAACATGGGGTTTACAAATGGCATAGACTCAAATAAGAGAACTGTCTTTGTCTATATCACCATCATTTGTACAGCCCCACCTTGTTTTCTGCCAGGTCCACAAGCTGCAACATTCTTATTGTCTTAAGTTCTTAAGGAAGGACCTCTATTTGAGTCCCCTTTCCTTGGGGGGGAAAAAAACAGTTTAGTGTCATGGAAATGATAAATAGAGAAAGGGGGGGGAGAAGAAAAGATAATAGGTAAAAGAAGAGCTGGAGAGAGGGAGAAGGCATGCAATACAGGAAGCTCTTGGACTTGCTGCTGTGCCTTCTGAGCAAATTTGAAAACGGAAAGAAAGATTCTAGAGTGAGCTGCTGTCCTTAATGAAAAGGGGTCTGGACATTCCAGATAAACCAAGCCTCGTCTTGGGTGTTTCCTCCACTTCCCAGCTGTGGTAAGTACAGTGTGGGCTATTCTTCCTTTAAAGATCCTGTAAAACTGAAATCTCCTAGGATGGTTATAATGCCCCGAGCATTAAAATCTAATAAATACATACA